GATGATCGCTGTGAGGCTCCTTACTGGTCCCGTTGTTCCTGACAGCCAGGATGCCTCCGTCTGATGGGTGACAGACAGGCGACATGTCAGGTTGTCATGGGATACACATACATGCACACACTCTGATTGTGCCTCGTCATCATGGACTCGCGGGCGACGAGATGCAACAGTTTCAAGTGGCTTTGAGCTCCGAAGCAGGCTGTGGCCTTTCTGATCGGCAGTGGGGTGCTTTGAGCGCCGCGCCCCCTGCTGGCCCGAGTCCGTGTAATGAGCCGTCTTGCTCGGGGGGGCAGGCCGCCTGCATTTAACCAGTCAGGAAAGGAAAAAAAAATACTTGAGGGTGTTTCAGTGCAAACTTGCGATCGAAAGTGTGGGAAGCCGGATTAGTCAATGTGCGGACTGGAGTGAGCGACTGTCGGAGATGATTTTAAAGAAAACAGTTGGCGTGCAGACGGACGGGGCGGAACAGCGGGGCTGGTCTCACGGTCGATATTTTCCACGTAAAATTTCAGCTTTCAGCGTTTCCTGAGAGATCAGGAGAATCACACGCTATGATCATCCAGATGGAGGCCTTGCGTTGTTTAGCATTAAATGAAGGTGTTAAGCTCGTGGAGTTTCTTTCAATTTTAATGGTGCATCCATCCCTGTCATGTGGCCCCCGGGACTCATGTGGCCCCCGGGCAGTTTGCCGAAGAAGCAGGTGCTCGATAATGGCCAGCCGCATTTGCTGCGCTTTTATCCTGAGCCGGGGTGGGACGTGGCGCTTGTGAGAGCTACCTGCTCCTTCCGTTTGGCATCGACACGGCACCCCCGCGCCGGACGCCCCCTCCACCGGCCACGTCACCACCGACGCCTTGCACTGCACGTAGCTTCGCAAAACGGCAGCAGACCGACGCAGCGGCTGCGCATCCTGCTGCACGACCCTGACTGGCTCCCCTGCCTTGTATGTTTTTCTTCTTTCTTCTTCTTTTCACTGGTCGTGTGCAGACTGAGGTACAGCAGGTTTGGAGGCGATGTGTAATGAGCGGGAGTTACCATGGTAACGGGGAGGCGAGGCGTTGTGTGCACGCTCCGCCGTGATCGTGTGCGAGCGAGCGCGCAGTGATCCGTTTGTGCGCATGTGTGTGTGCGCGCGCGCGAGCGTGCGGGTCTGCCCTCCCGTCTGCCTCACGCCCCCACCTTATATCCCCTGGGTGCTGAGGAGCAGGATGAGTCAGGAGCACTGAGCCGTGAGGCTCTGCCCCCACGTTGGCATTCATACGCTGCTTCAGGGACTGCACTTCACCAGAAGGTTGCAGGGTCTCGTCCCAGCTGTAGTAAACACCTGGGTTTGTGCATGCTGAACCTGCAATTTAGTGATAAATGTCCTGAGTAAACTGGGATATTTTTAAACTGTCAATTAAATCTTAGAAATGTAGAACTAATTAAAAAATATATATATGGCAGACTTCAGCATGTTTCAGGCCCTGGAAACACAGACTGCTCTGCGCTCTTCTTGATGATTGGCTGCATCTGCTCAAGTGAACAGGCTTGCGATGCTGGTGTGGGGTGGGCTGTAGCCTCACCTGCTGTTCTTCCATTGTGTGTAGCGGTTTCTTATGCGCTGTAGGGCTAACCGTGCGTTCACACCGCCGGCAGCGAGAGCGTCAAAATTCGCCCTGGCCGCCCTGCCAACGACGCTGTACAGAGATTTTTGGACGCTCTGACGTAGATTGAATGCTTGCCTTGTATTTAAAGGGGCCGCAAATCAAACAAGCTTGTTAATCTTGTGCAGACTGACCACAAGGAGGGTATAAGATAACCTCATGAAATATATTGAATGNTATAAGATAACCTCATGAAATATATTGAATGTGAAAGTAAGAAATTGATCGATGGAAAGAACTTTTTTGTAGTTACATGTTTTCTTTCAATTAAAAGCCATTTGTGTGGTGTGCAATTCTTATGTTCATGGTTATAAGTGCTAGTCTAATTTCAGTATTATAGGAGACATGTATTTACTAGTCTTGGTCTTTAACATTAATTAATTAATTAATTAATTAATAATCCAATATGTTTTGATATGTCAGAATATTCTGCAGCAGTAACAGCATTGCATGCTCTGGCGCTAAAGTCAGCTTGAAATTCCCACTTATTTTCAGAAAATACATAACGTTAATGCACATTAGAAACTCACCAGGAACCCCAACAATCTCGGACACCTTGGTCCATGCATCATTTTTTTTATTTATGTCCCTGTATGCAAACAGGGACACGTCGTAAATTACTGGGAAACCCGCCACAGCAATTATTAACCTCTCCTCCATTCTGCATGGGACCTTCTTCTTTGTTGCTTGATGGCGGTCGGCCATGGGAACTAATGTGGTCGGAACCAAAGTTTACAGGACTGCGTTATCTGGAATCTGCTCAAGCGGTGGACTTCTACGTTTCGATTGGTTGCCGCCTAACCGTGTCATAGCTCATTACCATAAAGTTGACCTGATTTCAACTCTCCTTGACGCTCTCGCCGTCCAAGACGCGCCGCGCCGCATCTCGCCGCCGGCTCACATTGAAAATGAATGACTTCCGGCCACTTTGACGCTCTCGCCGCCGGCGGTGTGAACGCACGGTTACGGTCACCCATATCCAGACCTGTGACGGTGACCTGAACAAAGAGTACCCATCATGCTTTGCTCACCGGTCGCCACCCCCTCGCCTGATTCCCTGCTCACTGAGACCCCTGTTGCTTTCTCCTCCCGTATCTCCTCTCGTTTAACCTCACTCCGCTCTTAGACACCCCGAGTCCTGTAAGCGCGTGACCCGGAGCTGACCACTTTACCGCGGTACTGACCAGGGGCCATGGTACCTTGTTAGTAACGTTGCACTCGACAGCAGAGTTATAATGCCAAAGCTCACGTCGCATGGGCTGCGGCACCTGGACACGCCATCTCTCCCTGGTACCGGCAACCCCAAGGTCCTCCGTCCTCCTCTTCCCTGGGTGGTGTTTCTGCACTCTGCTGTTACCGACCAGTATTCCTTGCTCCATTGTAGATATATTTCCAGGTCTGCAGCCACCCACCCATCCATCCACCCATCCATCCATCCATCCATCCCTCCCTCCATCCATCCATCTCTCCATCCATCCCTCCATCCCTCCATCCATCCATCCATCCATCCCTCTTCTGTCCTCTAGTAGCCCTGGTATGACCTGGGTCTCCTGTCCCGATGCTCATTCATCCGTCAGCCTTTGTGTTTTTTTTTTTTATTATTTGTCTTATTACTCTGGTGGCTGTCCTTGTCTTCCTCCCCCCCCCCCGTGTTACCTGATTCGGGTGGGGGGGACGGACTCACAGAAGTCTGCTCTCCGGGAACAGACGGCGAACCTGGAGTTTGTGTTTCCCGTCGGCCATTGGCTGCGTTCTCCCCCGTTGCCATGGCAGCGGCTCTGGGACTGTCACGGGTTGTTTTTTTGCGCGGCTCTTCTGCTTACGAGTGGCCCTTGGAAAAAGGCGGGTGAAAGCGCAGTGCCGGGTCCTGGGTGGTGGGTGGAGTGGCATTGGCAGCGCGGAGCTCGGCTCCGCTCCGGGACTCTGTGCCAGGAGCTCCACCGCGAGTCCAAACTCGCTGTCTCAGGCCCACTGCTGGTGCTGCTCGTCCTCCAGGTCAGCCTGCTTGCTGTTTGTGTTGTGAGTCTCTGGCATTTGTTTATTTGTGTTTGTTTGTTTGTTTGTTTCTGTGCATGTTTGTTTTCTTTGTCTGTAGGCTCGCCCACGCCTGTTTGTCAACCTGTTTGTCCCCTCCTGCCTGCCGTACGCTGTAAATCAGTGCCAGGACTCGCTCGTCAAACACAGCTTTGCTTTCCTCGCTGGCTGTTGCGGCGCTTCTCCATGGGCACCGCTTCTCATGACCCCCCCCCCTTTCTGATTACAGTGCAGCAGTGACACGCCCACCACACCCAAGCCCACCAAAGAGCACCGTGACATCTTCTTCCCCTCCTCGCTGCCTAACTCGGCCCCGCAGCCACCAGACAGCTCCACCCCCCAGGGTCCGCCCAGCGGGCCCCCGGACCAGTCGCAGCTCCGGAAGCAGCCGGCTGCCCATTCAGCTGCCATGGCCTTCCTGCCCCAGTCAGGTGAGTATCTGGCAAAGATCCTCATCTGGCATTTTGTAGCAGTGGTCTTTTTTTGTAAACTTGTCCCCGGATGCAGTTTGGTGAAGAGTAAACAAACGTCTAAGCAACCCTTTGCCGGAACCGTGGTGCTCTTTCCGGAGAATTTCAGCTGATCACTGAGTGGTTATCAGACTGCATGCGTTCGTGTCAAACTTCACCATTTGCGTGCCCTGCTGTCACTGCCTGGCCGGTCCTAGCTCCTCAGGAGAAGAGGAGCAAGGGAAATAAACACAAAAACCTCTCCCTTCCATCTCTATCTCAGAGGATCCCCAAGAAGCGAGGGCTGATTGGAGCCTCTCATTAAGCCACTGGGCTGAAAGTGAAGCCTTCAACCTCAAATCCCAGCCGGGGGACCCGAATTTGTACCTCTTTGCAGGGCAATTAGCTCGGATGGCTGCAGTAAAGCCTCCAACTGTGTAAACGGGAGGGAAATGTTACGAAACGCTGCTTTGGAGCGAGGCTGCCGCCAGGTGAGGCAGTGTACGTGTTGCGTAACACGTGTTTGTACGCACTTTAAAAGCCGCGTGCGAAAATATAGCTGCGGGAGGGAGACACACAAACGTCCCCGAGCACACGCAGGTGGGAGTTTCAGCCCGTCGCCGAGCATCTGGACGCTCGGCGCTGAAATCTATACAAAATGGTTGCCCAGGCAACCCAAACGAAGAGGTCGCAGAGAGGGAAGGCTCTCCGCATTAGCTAGCAGAGCTCAGAGGGAGAGCACGGCGCCCACCGCCGCCGCCGCCTGCCGGGAACCTGCCCATCTGTCCGGCCGCTACCCGGTCGATTCATCCGTCGGTCCTTCCTCCGTGTCCACGTCGAATCGGACCACCCAGAGCTGGTTTTCTCAGTCTCTTTTTCCGCGAGGAAAGAGCCATCCCATTGCCCGCGGGCCGCCTGTCAGCCTGATGAGAAGCTGGGACTGGTACGTATAGCGAACGCTGACCTGCTACCCTGTGCTCTAGTGTGTTAATCCCCCGGTAACCAACAGGTGTCCTCTGACTCTCCCGGCGGTCACTCTAAGTATTACTGCCCGGGGGACTTGATTCACACCGTCCGACCGGCTTGTGGGTCGCCCTCGGTTACCGGCACAGGACACCTTCACCGAGCTGTAGTCCAACTCCACAGTACAGCCTGTTTTTTTTTTTTTGTTGTTTTTTTTCTTCCATTTCCGCCAGCTGGAAAAACCAGTCGTGACTCCAGGCAGCTGTTTTTAATTAACCTGTAACTGAGGTGACTGCTTCTCTGTAGCTACATATAAATCATAATTAGGACAGTTTGCGACTTCAGGGTTTGTTTTGGCAGGTTTGTGTTTGTGAGGGAGCGTGTGCATGTTTGTGAACGTGAACAAGGCGTACATCATTCATTGAGTGTGAATTTGTCGCCCCGTTGTGGTGAGTCAATGTAATTGCTCCAGGCTTTTGATTAATGGTGCTGTTTAGGCGAAGCCTTGCGCTAAACGCCCCCAAACCCACGCCGTTTTCCCGTCCCGTATCACAGAGGAACGGGAGGAGCTCCTGGAGGGCTTGGGGTTCAGGCAGCAAGAGAGCCGGCTGTGCCAGCAGATGAAGATGACCACCGTGTCGCCGGGCCAGGAAGCGCCAGGCTGGCTGAGCGAGGAGGCGGCGTCCTGCAGCACCACGCAGCCGCTCTGCTCTGGTCTGTGTATTTGTGTGTGTGCCCGGCGGCGTGCGTGTGCGTGTGCGTGTGCCCACCCACGTGTAAACGCTACTCACACCCCCCTGCTCACTCCCCAGTGCCCGCAGGATCATCCCTAAACTCGCCCCCCGACACCACCGGTTCCAGGCAGTCGGACCCTGGCCGCGTGCGTTCCCGTGTCGCGCCCCACGTGCCAAAGCTCTTCATCCCATCCACGGTCACCAAATTCCCCCCCGAGATCACGGTGACCCCGCCCACGCCCACCTTGCTCTCGCCCAAGGGGAGCATCTCCGAGGAGACCAAGCAGAAGCTCAAGGTGCGATCGTCTCTCTCTCTCTGTCTCTCTGTGCGTCCCTCTCCTTTCTTTCCCTCCTTTTTCCTGGTGTCTGTGTGCTTCTATCCCTCCTGCACACCTACCCAGTCTGTTTCGCTCTCCCTCCCCATCTCCCTGTTCCACCACCGTCTCTTCCTCCTGCCTTCGCTCATCAGGCTTCGAGGGGGGGGGGGGGGGGGGGGGTGATGCACCAGCTGTCTGAATGGACCAGAACTACTGAGGCACATTTGCAGAGCATTCATTTGTTCACTGTACAATACCCACTCTGTAATAGTATTAATTTCTGAGCTGTTTCTATGGAATTCCATGCACTTCCTCATATTCTTTGCACTGTTACTGTTGATTGTTGACTATAATTTGTTACCGTCTATAAATATGTAAATGTCATTTACTGTCTAAATGTGTGTGTTGTGCTACTTTAAACCTGCAATCCTTTAAATCTATCTATCTATCTATCTATCTTCGCTACGTCAGAGTTGACTGACAGGTGCCCCCCATAACCCCCCCTCCGGTCACTCCCCAACAGAACGTCATCCTGTCCTCCCAGTCAGCGGCGAACGTCAAGAAGGAGACGCTGTGCCAGCCAGCGCTGGAGGTGCAGGAGACGTCCAGCCAGGAGTCGTCGCTGGAGAGTGACACCGATGAGGAAGAGGACTACATGGAAATCTGATATGGGAGACGGCTGTCCCCTGTTCTGTGGTGGCGGGGGGGGGGCAGGGGGAATGTGTGGCCTCTTTATTATTAAGTCAGAGCTTTCTGCACATTTGTTTAGCTCAAGGGCTGCATCCTGCTCCACAGCGCCTCCTGGTGGTCCGTAGCAGTGCCGCCTGCATAGAACAAAAACAGCAGACTGGACCTTCGATCGCTTCGTTTTTAAGAAACTCCTCTACCAACGTTCTATGCAGCCCGCAGTGGCGGGGGGCTCCACACCCACTGAGCTCAGGCTCTCCCGCCCTCCACGGAGACGCAGCCCCACCCCAGCCGGATGACAGAGCCTTTTCCCGGACGATGGCATCTGCACCCTGGATATTGAGTTTAACACCTGGCGTATGATGCATGCTAACCATTAGCATCTGGCTTCACCAATACAAACTGTCGGCATCTGCCTCCACCCCCCCCCCCCCCCCGTCACCCATACTATCTGTAGCAGCTGACCAACGTGGGCTTTGCCGACGGTTCCTAAGGTAACGCAGCAGCAGCAACAGCGTCACCTTGGCAACCAGACCACATGACCTGTTGGCGATCGAATGGGTTTACATTTATGGTAAAAATTCTCCTGTTTTAAATGTTTTCCATGCTTGAGTGTAAGAAAAGATCATACCTTGTGTTTGAGCATTACTTAGATGGTCTGAAATATGCTGTCTTTTGTCTTTTTCTTTTTTTTTTTCAAGCATGACAGCTTTGGTTTGGTGCAGGGGGGGGGCACAACATAATTTGGCACCAGCATTATCATATATATGGTGTGGAGAAGGAGGTTATGTTGGCATGAGCAGAATACATCTCTTTGGTTTTGTACATATCTAATATGCACGTGAGGTGTAAATTCTATCTGCCTGTTTCCACATTGGGCTTCTTTATTTCAGCGTGAACCACAAGGGGGCACCATGGGTTATTTTTTTTAAAAAAGAAAAAAGATTCATCTTGAAGTGTGTAAAATATATATTTAAAACCTGAAATACTACACAAAATATCATCTGCAGACAAAGGAATGTTTTTCTACAGATTGTTTTCTATTTGAAGATGGTAATTTGCAGTATTTTTCTTGTTGATACTGTGAGAGCAGCATTTTTAAAAACAAAGAAAACCTTTGTAAATATTTATAAGGGTCATCAGCCAAAAAAAGAAGAGTCCTGCTAAACATCCTATAAATGTACGTTTGTATTTTTGGTGTAATATACTGTTTTGTATTCTGCTGCGCTATAAATGGAAATGTATCATGGCTGATATTGAATTTTTGGGTCTGAAGCTTATGTAAGAGTTTCACTTGGTACTTTGTTTAATAAGACTGAGCATTACAGCACTCGGTCACCAGGGGGCAGTGTTATTCTCTTAATACTGATTTGCTGCATTTAAAATGTTACAAACCAAAAATACACTTGATAGCACACCCTCTTCTGGTTGGACTGCTTCTTTCCACATAACCACACATCAACCTCCCAGATATGTCATTTATCTTTTTATTTTTGTGTATGTTATAAGTTTGGCAATAGGGATCTTTCTCGTCTCTTTACTCTTATCCTCACCCAGGGTGCCTGGTCTTGTAACACTTTGTCGCGCTTAGTTCCCACCTTGACAAAGAGCCAGGGGCTGTTCTTTGTATTCAGTGGGGGCTCTCTGCATCCTTAATAAGCCTGGGTACCCATGAGGCACTGGGGTATTTGAGGGCAGCCAAGTATGATAAGGCAACACGGTGCTGAACCACATGGGAATCTAAATTGACTCAAAACTTAAACGTCAGCCTCAGAGGCTATTTTTAAAATCCTGTTCTTATGCCGCATAAATAAGAAAGCGATGCTCTAGTTTACCATCTGTGGACCCAGTAGGGTACGGCGGAGACCATAAGCGAGAGATCGCTGGTTCAAATCCCACATGGGTTCAGCCCTTAATTTGTTTTGCCACCATGAATACGGGGCTGGTTAATTAGGAAAAAGCTGTGAGTGGATTTCTATGGTGGGGGACCCTATGCCTGTGACATCATACCGACGTGTGGGGTCTGTGGAGCGCTACACGTACGCTAAGCTTAGCCCAACAGGCCGACACGATGTCCCCAAGCCGCTGACAGGAGGGGGGCTCTTACACCTCATTAGCAAGCAGCAGTTGCTTATGAAGTGCTGTGAATGCCCCCCCTCCCCCCACTGGCTAGGCGGGCTATGTTTTAGGGTTGTTGTTTTTTTTTATAAACAGGACCAAATGTGTCCTTGTCCACCCCGTTTAGAACTCATGACTTTTGTCAGCTGTGTAGTGTGTGTGTGTTGGGGGTGCAGGGGGTAATTCCCCAAGTAACAGCTCCTAGATCAGCACGGTGTGCAAATTCCCCAATACCAGTCCCTTAATATCCTAAAATGCAGAAATACGAATGAAGCAGCCGTTACTGTCATTTGTTATCATTTCTCTAGTGATTGATATAAATTTAGATAAGTATATTTATAAATTGCTTCATATCGGGCCATAAGATAGGCCAACCTAAGCGGGGACACAGAGGAAAAGAAAATAGCATTAGTAGAGCAGCTAGATTCTTCAGCAGGATAAAGACCGAGGAGAAAAGGCAAGACGATCAGTGTGGACGTCCTTCTTACAAGGTCTCTGTGAAGGGCTTAATCGGCCCCGTCCCTAATCTGATGTGGAGACGGGTGTATTTGCATGAAAATAAATCGAGCCTGACAGACGCCTGCTCTTGGGTGGCTTCAGGGGGATAAATAGTCTCACATATTCACTCACCCTGAATTCTCAAATTTTTCCATTTGTGTTTTCTTTTTTGTTTTGCTCTTGCAGTGTTTGCAAATATTACAATGTGTAATGAAAACAGTTAACAGTGCAGAGTGGGCCAGCCTTTTGATGTGACTGGACAGGACACTGTTACTCTGAGGATTTCAGGGTTGCCGAATCAGGTGACACAAAGTGTCCCCGCTCTTTTGTCTTTGGAAAGCTGTTCATAACGGCTCCATTTCCAAAGCAGCGTTTTGTTATAAATGGGCTTGCTGTTTAGTCTTGCCTGGACCTGATTCAGTCTTGGTTCATCCCTGTTCGGCCCAGTTTGGCCCTGGTTCATGCCAGTTTGGCTCTGGTGTGTCCCTGCTTTGGCACGACTCGGGTGTGGTTTAAGACCTCTCTGCTCCCTCTCTCAAAGTGGCCAATTAAGGCATCAAAAAGGCGCGCCGCATGGCTAATGGGGGCCAGAGGTGTGACGTTTCTCGTCGGGGCCCGGGGGGGGGCTTTTTAGTGGCCGTCTGATCCCGGCAACAGGCTGTGTATTAGCAGCTGCTGGCTATTCAAAGCAGGGGATCTGTGCACTTAGGGCAAATGGCCACAGACTGACACCCTTGGTTGTGGGGGGGGGGGGGGTTGCTGAGCAGAGCACAGGGGATCAATGAACCCACCCCCCCAATTCCAAACAGCAATGGCCCTAACGTCTCATCACTAAGGCTGGGGGTGGGGGTATAGTGCACTTAAACTTCAATCCATATAATCAGGCAGTAAGTCAGGATGTGGAAACCTTTCACTGTGTGTATGTCTGCTCACAGCATCACAGCTGCATTCACTTACTGTCTAAGTGGTGTTGATTCAAAATTACTTCCATAGTTACTAGTTTTGAGCTGATTCAATGTTAATTAACCAAGTTGCTTGTCTACAGAAGGACTGAAACAAGCAGAATTAAATACTTCCTTGCGTACCTCCCTGCAGACTTAACATATAACGATAGATACCAATAAAGCCAGCACCCATTAACTCACCAGTGCGGCTTCTGAGCCACTTAATCCCCTGTTTCCCAACTCTGCACTTTGGTTTGCTTTTGACCTTGGAAGTGATGCTGAATCATCCAGTATAAAGCTGGTAAAGTTAAATTCCAACAAAGGTGTAGAAACACGTGACACAGGGCCAGTCTACACTGTGCACATGGCTTTCGATGTGATCCCGCCCCCTGGCTGTTCTCCGAACCACTTGTACAGCCTGTCAGGTGGACTGGAGCCTGAGTGCCTGCAAAGACTTTAAAGGCCCCTCAGAGGCACATCACTCCAAATATGGGTGTGCTGAGACGCCGGACAGCCGGGTCCACTGGAATTAAATCAGGTTCACAAATGGCTGCCCCTTTAATCCAAATGAGTGTAAGCATCCCATGTTTGAAGTTTTAAGTGCCCCTCACGTGAAATTATGGGGACCCCCCCCCCCACCCCTGGTCAAAAAGTCTCTGCCCAGCACTGCTAAATTAATCAGTGTCCGCAGATGCCGTCAGCGCATGCTGTGTACGGCAGTGACATTCCAACAGACCAACAGAATGTGAATTCCATGCACGTACACATTTGATGCATTCTGATGTGCGAAAAAGTTCTACACCCAAAATCTGGGCTGCGCACGCACAGTCTGAATGGACACTCCAGATAATGAAATTTACGTCACTTTCCCTTTGCCCAGAACTACAGCTTACTGTATGAATTGGGCTTTAAGGGTACAGCAGGAAACTCTCTTGAGATGTGACCCAACAACCTCTGTGTCAACTGTTGTGGTACCTACAGGGCCTGTTTTAGTGGCGGAGATGAACGCTGTATTTGCCTCTCTGCCTGTCTGTCTGTCTGCCTATCTGTCAATTCAGTTTTATTGTGTAAAGCACATTTTCACAACATTACATTGTCTCAAAGCGCTTTACATTATCCCTGCCCAAAACCTTCAGTAAGCAAGCCAGAGGCAACAGTGGCGAGGAAAAGCTCCCTCATAGGAAGAAGCCTTGGGAGGAACCAGACTCAAAGGAAGAACCCATCTTCCAGAGGAAATGAAATGAAGATGGTAAAATCCAAAGTTACACAGCCTACCTGTCTGTCTGCCCACCTGTCCCTCTATCTGTCTGCCTTCTCGCCTATCTGTCCACCTGTCTTTCTGCCTGTATGTCTATCTGCTCACCTGTCCACCTGCCTGTCTGTCTGTCTTTACTCTGCTCAGCCACACTGCCGTTGATGTTGATGTTTTGCTGGCTGGTTCTTGATCTAAGATGCTCTCCTATTGGAAGGGGGGCAGCCCTCTTTACTAGACACGTAAGCACCTCACTACGCCCTGCCGCCCATGTAAGGGTTCAACGCTGCTACTGCCAAAACAGACACCTCCCTCAACAGGTCCTGATCCCCTCATGAGCTTTCACAGCCAGCCCCCACATCCCTCAAATCTTTGCCCCTTCTGGGATGGAGTAGACGCTTGTATTCTTAGCTACATTCATTGCTTGGTTTTTTACATCTTATAAAGATGTTTACTGGAACTGCTCAGAAAATAGCAGATCCAGTTCCTTAACTAATACACCACCTGCTGGCAGTCAGTGAAGCTGTGAAAAATGCTTACTGTTGAATGTTCTGAGATAGGTCCCATTGTGGAAGCCTATTCAACCTGTATAGAAAATGACCTATAGTCCTATCATCTTAATCCTAATCCTCACTTTTGAGGTGAACCCAGCTAAGTTTGCTACCCGGAACAGACGCCCCCGGGTATATATTGAGGGTGTTTTCTGGGGGGGAGCTTTGCAAGCACCTTCAGAAGTGCAAAGTGAGGGGAATAGCACTAGACTTGTGATTAATAACTCCTCGACAACAATTGGTTTCGCGCGGAGGCTGAAGTCACATCGCACGCCTGGGGGAAGCATGGGGGGGTGATACCCTGCTAATACCCCCCACCAACGGTAGAGAGAGCCAGTGCTGCCGCCTTCCTCTGTTCTTTGTTTTTTCCCTCATTAGAAACAGCCTTTTAATGTTAATACAGGTCTGCAGCACAAAGGTGTGAAAAGCTGAGATGGAGCCTCTGCTCCTAACGGCCTTTATGAGGCAGGGGGAGAGTGTACAGCTACTGGCCCCCACCGCCATCGAGCGACCCGGCACTCGATACCCCCCCTGCTCGTAAACACCGCCAGCACTATCTCCTCCCGCCACTTACGCTTGCCCTGGGGACTCTTTTCATGCCACCCCCCCCACGGATATCCACCTTAATAAATCCCCCGTTAGTGAGAAAAGGCCATATCGATCGCTCAAGATCGGCTCACGAAGCAGAGCGGGGGGGCTCAGGGGTGGCCATTGCTTCAACTTCGACAGGAACATTTCGGCTCAGGCTGGAAAAGATAAAAAGTTCTACTCGCCGAGGACATTTGAAGTTTTCATGATCAGTGAGTCAGAAACAGGAGCATCACTGTGTATGATTTATGACATTTATGAAATGGGGGGGGGGGGGGCTGAGCCTTGAGATTGTGATTCCCTGAGAGTTGGGAGGGATGGAGAACGTGGACAGTCTGGAAGTCCCCAAGCATTGGTATGAGAAACACTGTACCAGGGGATCTGATGGAAATATTGTGCATTTTGTACATCAATTAGTGTACAATAATTTGGTGGGGGGAGGGGGGTGCAAAACAATAATAGCGCCTCCCTGGTCAGAATAAAACGGTTCTTTTAAAATTACATATATCAAAAATGCTATATGCTATAATCAGCTTTATTTTAGTAATAAATGTGTTTTTTCCTGTTTTGGTTGAGAAACATTCGGGTTAGGATCCTTCTGCTTGTTTTTATGACTCTCGTGTATCTATCACCCCATCATTCCGATGCTCTCACACTGTGATGTAACAGAAAATGCACCAAATGTGGGGGCGCAACCTCAGATAAGGCTCGATGTGCATGAATCTGGAATCTGTCCGGGGCTCGCAGCAAACGCGGCCAAGAGCAATTTACGGAGTCGTAATGGATGTGGAAGCTGAAGAGAGAAAGCGATTCCTGGGTGAGGTGCCTGCTGGCGAGATCGTGAGGAGGAGGCCTAACCTGGGCTGCCACGTTACCGGCATCAGAATCGTCCGGCAGGCCGCCTGAATGAAAGTGTGGGAAAGTGTTAAAAGGATGGATTACAGTCACATTGGGCTATGAACATGCCGTGCAGCCTGAGCCCATCTGAGTGGTGAGCATTGGCCACTCAGGGGAGGAGACGGGACGGGGGGGGGGGACAGGTTGTGGATTTGAGGCTGTGGATTTGGTTTGGGAGGGGAGGGGCTTGCTGGGAGACCCCTAGCCTTTGAGTCCCCCCCTCCTCAATCCGTCTGTCTGTGTTCCAACGCAGAGGCGTGGTGCTAACTAAGCGCTAAGTGGCGGCCATACAGGCCCTCCCCACCTGCAGAAAGCAGGGTCCTGCAGGGGAAACCAGGCCTAATGAGATTAGCAGGGGCCCATTGTTCTGTCCAGACACCCCCAATACACAAAGCTGCCACATCAAGACCCGCCTCCCCTTCCCCTCTCAGGTGAGCCTCACCTGGAGGGACCCCCCCTGGCTGCCTGCAGGTAATGACGCACGTTATGGATTTACACGCCGGTCACTTTCCCTAACTGCCAGGGTCTGGCCACCACACAGCGCTGAGTGACCAGTATCCGCCACAGGGCATGTTTAAATGCCATTTCATAATGGCGTTCACAGCATTTCACACGGTCCGCTCGCCTGATTTTCTGGCTAAGGGTGATGTTTGCATTGACCCTGAGAAGCAGACACATCACTGTTGGCTTTTCGGTTACTGTGAACAAGCTGTTTATTTCCCGCAGTTATCCGAACATGGTTTTGGAGAAGAACGTAGTCCAAAATCTAGCAGCTGAGTTGCATGTTAAGGCGGCGTGATGCGTGGTGGCGCTGCAGTCGCCGCTGTACCCGACACCTCCGGGCTGTGGGCTTCCTTCCCATGGTCACAGAACACAGATGAGTAACAGCATTTGAGATTTTTTGTAAGAAGATAAATTTGCTAAATTGTGGCACCCTGAGCTGACTCAGCGCGAGGAGTTTGGTCATCGACAGCCATGTGATTTTTCTGAAAACTGAAGACACAGAAACAGCAAATCAGTTCCTGACAGTTTTCAACTTATTAAATCCTTTCGAAGGGTCATCTCGCATATGGCTTCCACGGACTGGAATTAATATTAAGCCATGAAAACACAGCTAACTATACTTACTTAGTGGGTACTTGGGTAGCTCGTAGATTATGTCTATGAGATTATAGTGCCTGTGTTTTAGCCCCCTACTGGGTACGGTGGTGTTTGCATGAATAACTAATTAGCACTCTCTGTGTCCATCTTGGGACAGTCCGAGGCCCATCCGTTCCCCATCCACATTTGTTTAAAACTCTCCTAGCAGTTCATAAAGGTGTACTTCCTCCGGGCCCCTTCCTGTGGGGATCGGTATCAAGGCTCTGCTAAGTCTCTTTGATTTTGCCCTCTGTCCAATGAGGCACAACCTTGGACGTCCCCCGCCCCCCTACTGTGCCACTTCAAAGGCTGGGAATGGCCCTGCAGGCTCCGCCCCCTGCGGGACTCTCCTTAAAAGCAGGGGGCATACTTTCCTCTAGGTCCAGAGACCTTACAGACCTTAAACTGCTCACGCTCCTTTCCTGGCTCACCTTGAGGACTAGACTAGCCCCCCAACCATTGTAAAGGTGGGATGTACAAAGCTTGGGATTCTGATCACTGGAATTGACCACTGGACTTCATCCATACCTCTCTGGCCTCTGCTATTTGGCCTTCCCTGGAAAACAGACATTTTGGATTTGCCTTCCTTCTGTAATAATAAGGGATGCAGCCCATTCGAGGTGAGTGTATTGGCTTGTTTCTGTCTTTCAGATTTTTTGTCATTTTTTTTGACTGTTGGATAGTAAAGCTCATAACTATACTGTCATAAAACTTCATCTCTTGTAAGACATTAAATATAAAGTGTGATTGGTTGTCTACTGATGTTTCTGTTGACTAGTCACCTCTCTTTGGTTTTGGTAACAGCAATGTGCCCCCTAAATCCTTACTTCTGTTTCCTAGATTTGAAGCCAAATTTCAGTGTCCCCCCACCAACTTCTTCCATGACGGGGGGTCCGGATGCCTATCACCAAAGCAACGTCCGAATGACACTGGAAGATCCCGAGCTCTGGAAGTCCTTCCATGAGATCGGAACGGAGATGATCATTACCAAGCCGGGCAGGTAAGGGAATGAGCCGACCCTGCATCAGGAAGATAATCCATTATGAGGTCAGATAGAAATGCTAATGCATGTCAAGGCAATTTATTCTTGAGTCTCCCAAGGATGAGCAGAATGGGTAACCAAACTGTGGAAATGTGTGTCTCTTTCAGGAGGATGTTCCCCCACTGCAAGATCAGCCTCACTGGACTGCTGCCCTACGCCAAGTACATAATGTTGGTCGATATGTTTCCTGTCGATTCCTTCAGATATAAGGTGAGTAGCGCGCTGCTGAAGACCGTCGACAGGTTGTAAAGCCTCAGCTCAGATTGTCGTTGTCCAGAAAGAGCCAGTGAGATTAATACATTCAGTCCAACACTGCCTGTTCAAATGAGCAAAATGATAAAAACCAGCAGGACCAGTGGGCCTTCAGCTTCTGTCTCCACTATGTCTCCTGCCCAGTCCCCATGCGAGCTGCCACTATTCGTCATGGAACATCAAAGGACATTGTCTCTTCCTGTTTTGTCTAACCCCTGCTGGGTGCCACATCACATGCCTTCTCTTCCCTGCCCCTCTCCATGGGTGGTACAGTCCTAAGTAAACAAGGGACCACCATCACTCAGAATCTACCTTTATCTCCCTAACATGTCTGCCAATGAAATTTAGATTACATATAGTTCTGGTTGAGAGGAGCACATTTTCATGTGACCTGTGAATGCTAACAGTGTTTTTACCCCAAAAAGTGGAACAAGGACAAGTGGGAGGTGGCTGGGAAGGCTGAGCCGCAGCCACCGTGCCGGACCTATGTCCACCCAGACTCACCGGCGCCTGGCAGCCATTGGATGAAGCAACCTGTGTCCTTCCTGAAGCTCAAGCTGACCAACAATACACTAGACCAGCATGGCCATGTGAGTGCCTCTGCCCATCCACTTCCATCCATGACCCCCATAGCGACGACAAAGGACCCTTAGATCAGAAGAACTTTCCCAGTCTTAGTAGGCAAAGCTCTTGTTGACAACTGAAATTATCTCAACATTTGACAGTAAGAACTTACTTGCATGTTTCAGCTAGACAATTTGCCTAAAGGTTGGCACCCGCTAACCTATCTCATTCTACTCTGCAGATCATCCTTCATTCCATGCACAGATATCACCCACGTTTCCACATCGTCCAGGCCGATGACCTCTTCAGCGTCCGCTGGAGTGTCTTCCAGACCTTCACTTTCACCGAAACAACCTTCACGGCTGTCACAGCCTACCAGAACACCAAAGTGAGACCCCACTCTGTTCTGTTCTTCACTAATGCTTGTAGGATGTAGTTCCAAGCCCCAGTATGTTCTTTATAGCACCCCGCTCGAGGAAACCTCTTACGGCAGACAAACTGTATGTGTAATATTCTATCTGAACCTTTTACCCAAGGCAACCTATAAATACTGGTACAAAAAGTACCGCAGTGTGTGTTGGGTAAATTCTTAATGCAATATTTACTACTGGTCCTAAAATCAGCAAAAATAATCAAAACCCAAAATCTTTACTATGATTTTGTAATCTTGTTGTTGTAGCTTGTATTTGGTATATTTTTCTGAATAGTTTTAAATGTGAGCAATATGTGCTGTATAGTGATTTTGTATCTTTTGATGTTTAGATAACCAAACTGAAGATAGACCACAATCCTTTTGCCAAAGGTTTCAGAGATGAAGGCACCAACACAAAAAGGTAAGTTCCAGATGAGTTCTCCAGTGCTCTGGTGATTATTTATTCTTTTCTGTGGGTTACATGACTGTCCTTCTTTGTGTCACTTATACAGGCGCGCACACAGGAGTCACTCTTACACAGAGAGGCCTGCCAAAAAACCAAATACGGTGAACAAGGATTCAGAACACGGCTCTCCAGGTACAGCCCTTGGCAGTCCCGAGGGGCTGTGCCCAGGACAATCTCCAGCTGCTCTCCTCGCCTTTTCACGTACCTGAAACTCACCAGCAGTGCCGTCCGCCTATTTTCCCGCACAGATTTTCGTGGCTCGCCATACGAAGCCTTTGAGGAGGATCGGCACCGTCCCTCAGAGCTGACCAAGAGTAAAGACGGCACCACAGTGAAAGAGGAGCGCTACTCTCCCTGGGGGGCTGAGCAGGATACCCAGTTAGGTCTGCGCACCGAATCTCCAGTCGGCACCGATGCCCGAGACGTCTATGGCACGGAACAACTAGTGCCCGCAGTGGCGTCCTACCAGCCATACAGGTATGCACCTCATCACAAACCCAACAGGTTCACACAAGGGTATAACTGGGGTTGAGCATTGGGGGGAGGGGGGGAGTTGAGGTCTCCACCTGTTTAAGGGGGTCCAGGAGGTTGTATTGGCTGGTTTTGAGTACTGCGGGTTACAACTCCCCTATCCCTCCCATGATTTATGTCAATGAGCTCAGAAACTCTTCACACACCCTGATCATAAGTCACCAGTAAAATTGGGCTGTGGGACGACCATGACTCATCCATCTTGTACCCAAGATGATGTGAAGCTGGGGCCTTGATTACCAAAATATTGGCAAACCCAGCGCAGGTAGACAGCTCAGCCAACCATATGACCATCTATATCTCTAACGCACAGGGTCCATGGTTATGGGAGGTCGTCCTCATCTTCCTCCAGTGTCGGCAGTATCACGGGCCGCCCTGGGTATGAGTCCCGGGTTCCCGACGTGGATGAAGCACCCAAGGCTCACCCCAGCCTGGACATGGGATCCGCCCTCAGTACCTCACAGCTCCCTACCAGCTCTCCCCAGGACTACACTGGTGCCCTTAACGTGGCTGTGACCCCGACAGGGAAGCCAGCAATGCTGGGCCACACCTTGTACACCCCTTATGGTGCTGAGCAGGCGCTTGGCCAGTGGGGTGGCCCCACCCCTGGGCAGTACCCTGCTCCAACCGCCCACCACCTCCCTGCAGAGTACAGTGCCCCTGCCATGCACCATGGCTATCACCACGGCAACATAGCTGACTGGAGCCAATACCCACTCTTCTCCTACTCGTGCTGGTGACTGCCACACAGATGAAGGACGCAAGCCATCCAGTGGTGAGGTGTGTTCCAGGTGTCTGGGCCGAGATACAGACTCGTCTACTGGGGCTGAAACCATGGCAGACTTAACAACGAGAACTCTGCCCAATTGCTGCTGACCACCCAAGCAATCTTCAGCATGATTGGTCTCCCCAAGGACCGATGCTTTTCTGAGGAGACCTCTGCACCCATTCCACGGTCCATGCACTCTGGTCAGCTCTGGCACCTTTCTTCCAAAGACAACAAAAATGGGTTCTAATGGAGACAGATCAGTACCAAAGGGGACTTTTATGTCTCTTCATTTTATTTATTTAGTGACTCCATTTGTGTTCATCCTATGAAATAGTACTATTTTGTAAAGAGAACCAACAATATTTGTTTGGTGTAAATTTAGTGTAAATTGTTTTATTTGAGATTGTAATAATATGAAGAGGTAATTAAAACTGTGTTTTCACCTTATAGAGTTTACATAATGTGTCATTTCTGTTGTGTGAAAAGCTCCTGTGTAACTTATTCATCGTTCACATTTGTTTTCTCCAAAGGCAATGAATAATTTAGTTTCTGGAATTCTCCAGGATTTAGGAGACCATCTTTGCATATGAAGCTTTCTTCTGCTGCACTGGATAAAGCTTTGTCTCATAAGAGACACGATGAATAAAACAGCTTTGAGTAATGTTTCAATACTGCATCTGTGTCTTCTTAATTAATCAATACAGATGCTATCCACAAGCTTCAGATCTTGTAGCATTTACACCTCGATTTTAGCTGTTAGCAACTTGCTGGGATGTTTTATTGAAGGACTGGGAGTTTGAATCCTGCCTCCTCTCCTTGTGTGTGGAATTTATATGTTCTTCTCATGTTGCGTTGGTTTCTTCCTGCAGTCCAGAGTGAATTTGGGGTTAACTTGCATCTCTAAAATGTCCATAGTGTATGACTGTATGTGTGCCATGCAATGGGCTGTCATCTTGTCCAAAGTTTATCCCAACTGTGCTGCATGGGATAGGATCCACGTCCCCACAACCCTTAAATGACTAAGCAGTAGGAAGATGGGTGAATTTTTTGCGGAAGTAAATTAGGGTATCGGCCGGATCAGGGCTGTAAAAGTGTAAACTCATGAGACTCGGAACAGATGACCTTAACCTCTTTGCTGCTACTCTACAGACTGCTATGTTTCCATTTGGTGGAAGGAGCAGGAACCTTTGGATTATTTGGGGGTGGGGGGGGGATGCAGCAGACCTGATGTGTTAACTGGCTTAGCTGATGAGCGTAATTAGGAAGGGGGTGTCAGATCCTAAATGAGTTTGTGTCTTGTTTCCTCCTCGGGAATAGTTGTGAAATGCGTACTGGGGGGGCACATAGTACCCTCTGTCCAACCCCCCACCCACCCCATACTGATTCAGCCTAGTGGGCATCCTGCACCAAAGCATCGGAGCAGCCAGATGATTTACATGACAGTCTGGTCATGCCTCACTCACAGAATCTTCCACTGTACCTCACAAACTGTACAGTAAATCAGCCTATGCATGTAAACAATGTTTGCCAACCAACCTGTTGAATAAAGGTCAGTGGTGCAGTGGTTAGCACTGTCACTTCACACCACTAGAGCCTTGGTTCAAGTCTCTGTTCTATGTGTGTGGAGCTTGCATGTTCTCCCTGTAGGGTTTCCTCTGGGCACTCTGGTTTCCCCCCACAGTCCAAAAACATACTGAGCTTAATTGGAGTTACTAGATTGCCCATAGGGGTGTGTGATTGGGTTGGTGCCCCACCCTGCCTCGTGTCTGTAGGCTCCAGACCCCCTGCGACCCTGAACAGAGTAAGTGGTTTCAGAAAATGGATGAAGGGGAGTGATGGGACTTCAATTCTTTTTGTGCTAATCATTTGGGATTGTCGCAATTCTTCACTATGTTTACGGTGTACTACATATTGCATAGCACTGTATCTATGTATTTATTGTGATAATTGTAATTGTATTTTTTGTTACTGCACATCCATTTTAATTTATACGTGCACCTTAAATAATCTGTACTTCTTGTCTGTGTTTCGTGTTAATTTGTGTCTAGAAGGACATAAAGATTTTCCTTGCATAGTGAATTGATTGTTTACTGCACATATGACTAATAAACACATCTTAAATGTACTCAGGAATTGTTTGAGGAATTGATGAAATATACTCACAAATCACAATTACACCCTGACCACTGACTCTGTTTTAAACAGATAAAATATCAACACATTTGATTTATTTTATCGATATTAGTGTCCGACATGGTGGTTTGTTTTAGTGAAGGGAAATTTTCAGCCCCACAGACCAACTTCATAGAGGCTTATGAGCAGTTTTTAGGTGACAGTAGCAAGATCAAAAATAAGACCATGGACATCGACAATCAAATCCATAAGTCATCACGTCCTGAATGTAAGATCTTTAAGTGAGATCTTTGTTTTCCACATGTATGACAGGCTGATGTAAAAGTGGTTAAAGTCGGGGGATTTCAGGCCAGGGGGTGTACGTGGAAGGGCCACGCAGAGCCATTAGGCGAGATGTGGTGGTTCTCTCCTGCACGGATGTGAACCTCTTATGGCTGCTTTAAGAAGCAGAGACACGGGGCTCAGAACGAAGTACCCCATCCCCCAGTGTCCTTTTTATTCCCCTCAATTCATTATGGTTTTCTTTAAGCCATTATCCCACCACTGCCACTCGACTGTGCAGTCTACGATAAGACCTCTTCAGTGGCCGGTCCAACAAACTGGTCTCCATTCCGAACAAACTGGGACTACTGTATGGGATGGTGTGAGGCTCTGTGCATGGGTCAAATCCCGTGGTAGGCAGAGTGACGTCACTGTCAGGCCCTCGAAGGGCCCGAAACCCCCAAATCCGGGACCAGCTGACTCTGCTACCTCAACTGTATGTCATTCAGGATAAAAGTGTCTTCTAAATAAATGTAAAGGGTCATGGTCTAACATGACCAACCCTGATCATCTCCAGCCTGCTGACCCACCGTATGAGAAGTAAAAAGGAGAACAGAGAGACCACAAGAGGAGCTCTGAACTAAGGAGGTCTTTAGACTGCTTCAGGCTCTCAGGTACAGATCACAGATGCAGAGCCCGATGATTAATTAGATATTAATTGATTAGAGAGGTAACAATACCAGACCCACATCAAAGAATGTGCCACTAAAGAAGTATGGGAGATATTGCTGTGCAAAGGTGTGTATGCTAAACTGACACAACCCCCATTCATAATTTAAATGGACATCCTAAAAGTTGTCTTTTGCGAGGGTGGGGTAGGGGTGGGGGGTCCTTGGGGGTTTGAATGGCTGACTGGTGAAGGATAATGGAGGGAGGGTGGGATGATTCACAGATCCCACATCCTGTGTTTGTTTCCACAGAGCTTGTGTCCATACAGGATAACTGCATGTTGAGAAAGGGACACGTCATGTACTGATTCTGGGGGGGGGAGGCAGTCGGTCCTTGTGCTCAGTGGCCTTATACTCTCTGCTTGTGGGGGATGCTGGATGAGGGAGTGACTGGGGTTCAAGGGGTCAGACACGTTATTTTCCTGGCTGTAAACGTGTGAACGACTTAATGTAAACATACAGAGGTATATCCGACAGTAGTGCACCAGACGGATAAACAAAATCATGGTTACATCCATGTGGGGGACAAGGCCAAACCCATCCCTTCATAATTAAAAGCCCAGGTAAGAGCCACACCACAGCATGAAATCTTAAAAAATGTGCTTCTCCCACTTGTGAAACAGTTATACTCATGGCTGATGATGTAAGGATGTGTGAGTGGATGTGACACGTACTCTTCGGGTGGCTAAGGAACATGTTCTGGCCGGTGATCTGCCTCATAACGACTTTACTCTCCCCCCTCCTGTGCTTTTGCTGAGCCTCTGGGGGATCCCTTTGTAGGCAGAAGGGCAAACAAGCAGCCAAACATGAATATCGATCAAGAGTATCGTTCTGGGAACAGGTGAATAGGCTTCTTAGTGACCAAAAAACAAAACAATACAACAGAGGAATCTTAATATCAGTTCTTGGCACAAAGATGATAAATATGAGCGATGTCTCAGGCAGTCTTGGTGAATCCATCCACCTTCTTAAGGCTCATTGACACTTCTGTGTAAAATCTACTCCATAAGTAGCTGTGTACCCAACGCCATAGCCTGACGCGCACCTCTACGTGGTCACCTATGATGCAGAATTTACACAGAAGTATAAATCAGCCGTCACCCTGGTCTGTGTCAGAGGCAGCCTGGAGTCTATCCCAGGCAGCATAAGGCACGAGGCTGGGGTTCACACAGTCCATCACAGGACACACACAGTCATACACTGCAGGCAATTTAGAGATTCCAGTCAGCCAAATGCACGTCTTTGGACTCCAGGAAAATATGTGTTCCACGCATACAGAGATGAGACTGAAACCCTAAACCCTGAAGGTGTGAGCAGACAGTGCTACCCGCTGAGTCACTGTGCCACACTGTGCAAATCCTCACTTACAAAACCTAGTGGATCCTACATGATTTATTTGCAACAAAAAAAATGTACAGCTCGGAAATTTACAAACACAACATTTGTGTGGCTATACCTGTAACAGCATGAACAAAATTTTGAAATTCATGAGACTGAAAAATCCAGGTTACAGTAGAAAATGCCACATATCTAGGTTGTGTAAACAGTGTAGCATGGCTTATCTGACTTTCTCCACAGGAGGGTGAGACAAGAGAGCATGTTTATCAAGTGCTTAAGAGCCACCAGTGGACAAACAACATCAAAGGCAACATCTCCTTGGAGAAGCCAGCTGTACCTTGGATGACAATGGTATCCATGGAGAAAACAACCATACCTTTGATGACAGTCATCTCCCTGGAATAAACAGCTCCTAAAGAGAACTTAGATATACCTTAGACCGCGACATCACCAGATGTAACCATGGAGACAGTTGCACCTCAGATGCCAATTGAGAAGTTATCTGTTACAA